GCAACCTCTTATCATTCTCTACAATATTTTGGTGGTATGCTATGTAATAATTTTCCTTGAGAGCTTTTAATATCCCATTTGGTGGTAAATTATTATGATACCTTTAGCTATGGAGGCAAAATAAAAATATTAACTTGAGAAAATTTATTGGCCAAGACACTTCTTCATTTGCCTTTACTACATATATTTTTACTGATTTCATGGTTTCATCTAGACTTCTTGACTTAGTTTCCTAAACCTTTTGTATAAGCTGTCTTTTTAACCATTTCTTTTCAGGTATCTGTTTATGGAGCAGAATTATATATATAAAAACTCTGGCAACTAATCCTCAATTCATAGACGTTTTTAAAAGATGTATCTGGAGACTTGTGACTGTCAGATCAGGCTGCAGGCAGAAAGCAGGCTGGAAAGATTATTGATTTTTTTTTCTTTAGCTTTTTTGTTTGTTTGTTTTCAAAGTGGTTTCCAAGCACTTGACTATGAAATACATTCAGAGACCAGAAAACTCAAAAGTACAACAAAGCTTTGAAGAACTTTTGTGCTTAGAGAACTGGTCTATTACAACTGACTAAGAAAACACTTTTTTTTTTTTTTAAGATAATTGAGCATTTGGGCAGCTATGCTAAAAAAGAAAAGATACACAGAGCCAGTTAAGCCAAGAAATAAGTAGTAACAAACACAGTCAGAAAGAGACATACCAGTTATTTTCTGCTTTCCCCTTTAAGAGGTTAAGTCTAAAGAGGCTGGTAATTTCTTAGCTGCCCTCATTTCTTTGTCACAGAACCTTTTACCTTCTTTACAGCTGACATGGTTTTGAGGCAAAGCTGTCCTCACATATTTTCCCATTATTGTCTTGGAGTAGTTTTCCCTTTCTGATCTATCTGATCATTACAGATAGATACAGTGCGTAGATGCACTGACTGCATCAAAATGTCTTTAAAAGTAATTTAAAAGTCCATGATGACTGTTGACCTTTTTTAAATATTGGCCACCAACTGCTGGCTTCAGTGGTTAAGAATCTGAATCTAACTGTTCTTTTGCTACCTTGTCTGTGTAAAAAGAAATTCAGAATTTCTTTTTTCTGACCACAGGTGCAAAGGTAGCATGACATAAAGCCCTGGGCAGAAGTCAGGGCATTCCCATGTGCTGTACCTTCCAACACTTATTATGGAATCCTGCTTGTAGTAGCTGCTCTTAAAGAAGGGCAGTTTACACTGAAGCCTGTCATTCATGCCTGCTGTTGTTATGGCATGAATTTGCATGTACTTTCTGTATGCACCCACAATTTTTTTAGCATGGATTTTTGGGAGGCTCTTTCCATATTTTAAAATTTCAAAAGTGAAAGACCTTTTCAGGCAAAGACTTTAAGGTGAATTTGCTGTGCAAACACACTCATGCTCAGTCAGGAGGTTTGCAGTCCATTTGAGGATGAGATTGGAGTCTGAAGTATTAAATAAACAGCTACGTGGCAGCTTTGTACAGTATCTGAGGCTGGATCACACACTGATATTGAGTCAACAAGGTCTGAATGTAGGAAAAAGCAAATATGTCATGGGCTTTGTAAACACATAGGTTTGCCTTAGGAAAGTTCCTTCATTGTTCTTGGTAATGCTCAGGCCTCAGGGCAGAGATGTTTCAAAACTATGGATACAGCAGCTTTGGTTCACTGAGAAATGTTTATTCCAGGAATGATCAGAAATCTAAAAACTGAGACTGGGAAATGGTGAAAAAAATTGGAGCTTTTAAGGGAGGCGCTATTGGAGATCTGATATCAGTCATCTTCTATGTAAGAGGTTGCTGCAAGGCAGAGGATAAACTGTTCTTTGTCTGCTGGAGATAGGACAAAGTAATGTGCTTAAAATGGACCAAGAGATAGTTGTGGAGCACATTTGGAACGCTGATGATAGTGCCAGTGAAGTGACATGAATATATTGCCCAGGGAAATGAGATTGTTATGGGATGTGCTATTTTTTTAAGATGGACAACTGTTAAAAGTGGTTTAATTCCAGTAGCTTTTTCTAGTGGAGACAATGGACTTAACACCCTTCATACTGTTTTTAAAAACAAAGAGCTGCAGTGTAAAGACAATTATATTTAGTAACAACTGGTCTGGTTGCACTCCCAGGCAACCATGGTCAAGGTTTTACCTTCTTGTGACAATGTTGAACTCTCTTGAACTAAATAAATATCCATGCTTCTAAGAGTACCTCTGTCTAGAGGATAATATGCTTTTCATATCTTTCAGGATAAGGAAAAACATCCATGCCTTGTTTGAGTTAGTCTTGAACTCAAGGAAGGCAGCTTTCATCCAAAGAAAGTAAACTTCCTATTTTTAAAGTACTTGAGTTATTTTGTAACTTTTTAATTAAAACAAGGCTATAAATGGGAATCTTTTCTCCTGACTAATGGCATTTAATTATGTGACATGTGGCTTCTAATTGCCAACTTTTCAGCAAGTTATAAAACGTGAATAAGAAAATAAGAGCTAGGGAGTTTATGTTTGTTATGAAAGGTCGTGGTTTACAAAACTCTCATCATACCCTGCATGAGACTACATAGGTTCACTTCTGTGCCTGACTCTGAAACTGAAATTAAAACTATTAATTTCTCCTAACTGCTTGAGTTAGGAGAACTTGGTATGACTCAGATTTCTTGTAATGCACTGCTATGATGTTACTCTTAAAACTTCTGCAGTAGGAGGACAACTCAGTGAGCTACGTGTTGAAAGAGGTGCAAAAAACCAGATTTTCCTAAAATACACACACACATACGTAGTTGCTGAATCTACCTCATAAACCTGGCAGGACTGAGCAGGTTTTGCATGTATCTACTCAGGTAATGTGTTTAGAGACTTGGGATTAACATGAAAAGCTTGAGATTTAATTAACATCACAGCTCAGTTCTCTCTTCTTCAAGTGGCATCAGTGCCTTTTAATCTTTCCTTGACTTTACCAGCTGATAGAGGACTGTCATGTGATTGTGCTCTAGAGCTTGAAATTCTGGGTTTGGACTTTTCTGCAAACTGGAAATAACCTTTGAAGAAGTCCTCAGAAAAAGATAAAATTTACATATACTTCATAGACTGAAATAGAAATTAGTAATTTTATTCATGTAACTTCCAGGCCTGAGTGGTATGCACGCTTTTTACAAAGTTGGAGGTTTATGAGCAATGTTTAAACCTGGAGAGAACATTCCATATTTTCATTAATAACTTAGATAAATACAATATGAGTACGCTGAGATACACCAGAATGCAGAGGGAGAATTTGGCACAGAGATAAATATATTTTCTGTGCTGGTAGGTTCTTGATTCATCTTTTCCTGGATTTGTCAACCTCTGCTCCTGATCTTGCTTTTAACAAGCTGCACAGCATGGATATTACAAATTTGGAATATATGAAAAATACTTTGTGGTGGCAGTGTATCTTAAATTAGTATTTGTTTTGTGAGGTTTTCTAATTATTTGAGAACATGCTGAAATTAAAATAATTACTCAGCTTTATGGGTGCCCCTCCATATGTAACAGTGGTCTTGACCATAGCATTTCTCTCATCTCTTGTGCTGCCTGGACCTTTCCCTCAACCTGGTTATTGCAGACCAAGAGAAATGGCCTCTTGTGAGCAGCTCTGAATTATTTGGCATAGTGCTGCTGTGTTTCTCCTCACACAGTGCAGATTGGTAAAGGACAGAAGAGCATTTCATGCATTTCCAACTGTCCCCTAAGTGAAGATCCCTTAAAAAAAACAACCAAACAAAAAGCCAAGCTCATAAAAATACAGGGAATGAGGGAGCACAGTCCTGGTGGTGCAGGGAAATTCAGTGTAAAGGGATTTCTTTTAAAATTACAGAGACTTTTACACAAAGTTTGTTATTCTAATGATGTTTATCTGGCTTTGGAAGATATTCTGAGTCAAGGTCAGGAGCCTTTCAAAATAGGATCCTGGACAAAATGGGAACAAAGCTGCTCTGTAGGACAGGTAGGCTTGGTCATATTCTCACATGAAAATCACCCAGCTCCTGCTGTTGGTTGCTGAGAAGATCTCTGGCTACGTGGTCTCTGGAAGGGTGCTTATGTCTTCACAGACTTCAGGTAGCAGGGAAACCGTGCACCAGGTATTGACTGAGCTTTTAGATAGGTTTTCCTGCAGTTTTTCCCTTTTGAGAACAAAATCTGACAGTGGATGATGTGTGGTTGGAACTGAGTTCACCAGGGTCCTGCTGAACAGCTGACCTTCTCTTTTTAAAACAAGAAGCTTGTTAAATCTTCAATGAACACACTAAACATGATACTCCAGATAAGTTTCTACTCTGAGGTCAGTGGTTACAGCAAGAATTATTTTTTGAGAAAGAAATGGCTCCCTTTTTTTCTCCATTATTTTTCTTCCAGGGGTCATTAGTTAACACTGATTGAACCAGTGATCCTGGGTGGTCAGATCTGGTTCTGCAATGTCTTGGGCATCCCATAGCTTTGAATCAGAGCTTTTTGGAAATTGAGCAAAGGAAAGAAGAAAACAGATGGTGTGTTTGGTCTTGAGTGCATAAATTAATCAGAGGACATTTCCAGTCACGGTATACAATATCCTTTGTGGATCTGGCATTTCATCTAAGATGAAGAGCCTTATCCTAGGAGAATACTCTGCCATGTCTGTTCTGTTCTGATATTAGATAGTCCTGAAGAGTACCTATGAACTGCAGAGTTTTATATGTCTATGATTCTTGAGGAAATGTCTTACAGAAAATGCATGAATCAGGGAGTTGTTGTAACAGAGAAGAGGTTTGTTTGCCAGATGAAGGAAAAGGAGTTGCTATGCCTGGGAGCATTACTGAAGAAGAAAAGTATATGGAACAAAAAGTGGTATTTGTGGCATACCAGGTCCAGAATTTGAAACTTTTTTTTTTATTTATTTATTTCTGTATTTAATTTTAGAACTGACCAGCTTGTTGGAAGATGACGTTTACTCCTGCTTAAAGCTGCTATTCTTAAAACAAACAGTAGAAGAATGTGGAAGAACTCAAGCCTCCGCTGCCTTTTAGCACTAGCTATTTTATGCTTAAGAAGCTTAATGTATGGCCAAGAGATAGGTAAGTTTATTGCAATGTAATTCACTAACTCCTTTTTCTCTGTAGCTTCTGTACCTTGTAATTGCATTGCTTTCCTACTATAAGTATGTTCAAAACCTGTCACCTCTGTGGCCCCACACCATCCCAGGATGGAGGCAGTGCCAGGCCTGGTCTCTGCTTTCCACCAGCACTCAGCAGCATCTTGGAAACCAGTGCAAAACTGGGTGTTAAATTCTCCATAGTAACCACTGATAGTCTGCATACGCATTGGTGTAAATGTCTGCATTGAAACCTTTTTGCTGTATATGTTGGCCCTCTTCAGCCATTTCACACGTTATCATTAACTGTCCTTCTGTCATTAATTGCCCTCCATGTATGACATGGAGGAGAGAAGAAAACTCATTATGTTAAAATCAAAGCTTGTGGTTTTGCTATTGGCCCAAAGCCTGCTTATTAGGCTAGGCAAGGAACGAGTATTGTGGAAAGAGGCAGCTGCCTCTGTTATACACATGAGTTTAAATCCAGATCTCAGGTACCTCTGCAAGTCTGTGGCTGTCTAATCAGGCACACAAATCATTCAACAGTTTTAAAATACTGGCCAGACATGCATGCAATAAAAATTTAAGGAGAATGGCTGCAGATGTGAAAAATAGCAGTTGTTTTACAGTTGCTCATTTTTGACCTGCAGTTTTTTACTGTATTTTTTATATTATTTCAGGCTCTCCAGGGGACCCCCAGAATTTGAAATGTGTAACGCACAATTTACATAAAATGCTCTGTACTTGGGATGTCTCTTCTAGAGGAAGACATGGACAAACTGACTTTTGCTACACTACCAAGTAAGTCCCTCTACATACCTGGTTAAAAATACCAAATTGTGATGAAGGTACAGTTTTTCCTCAGTCACTGCCCATGGAAATTGTGATGGTGTTGTTTCCCAGCATCTCCCCAGCAGTTTTCCTTGGGTGGTGCTTCCCCTAGGCCCTGTTAACTCAGGCAATGGCAGGGTTTCTGGCAAAGCTGTTCCATGCTAATAATTTGCCTGCCAAAATCTGCTTGCTGTTTTCAAAGGACTGGAAGATGCTCTTATTTACTCAGACTTCTCTGTGTGTCTGCCTATCCCTTGCTCAGAGTTTTCATAAGGGATATCTTCAAAACAGGTTCAGTCCAAAAGGAAATGAGAGTTGGAAGCAGTGAATCCTGATGTTGTGGGCCAAAGCAGTAGAATATATGACACAAGTGTTGAGATTCACGTGGATTTTGTGTGGAAAAACATGAACAATCTCTCAGCGACTGCCTTAGAACCTTTGTAAATTTTAAGCTGTATTAGAGGAAACATAAAAATTATTTCACAATTGAAACAGCTTTTCTGAAGTGAATGCAAGTTGAGAATTTTGAGAAAAGTTAAAAAAACTTAAATCTTCTGTGTGTTTTTTCACTAATGAGAACTACATGTTCAATTCCCCATGCTGTGCATCTGCCAAATACTTATCATGTGCTAGGGATGAGTTCAAATCCATTCTGCATTTTGATCCTGCCCCCAGTCCAGATATTTGTACTGTCTTTTGTTTTCCTGCAAATTCTGCAGGCAGCCCAGACTTTTCCTTGGGGTCCCGGGGCTTGGCTGCACTTAGTCCACCTACATGCTTGATTTGCTGTGTCTCATTATTCCTGCTGCATTGCCAGCTATCATTCCTATTTAAAAAACACCATATATATGACTCTGTGGCCAGAGTTCAGAAGTGCAGAGTTCATGAGGTACTGCCCTCTGAACAGGAACAGTCATGTAGCTGCTGCAAAGCAGGACAGGCTGGGGTCCCTGAAGCAGAACGTCTGAGATGAGCTTGCAGACATCTCTGAGGGAAAGAGGTTTTGTTTTTCAGTTGCCCAAACATCCTCTAATAATATCTCAGTACTGAAGAGGAACAGCCTTTCTGAGCACTCAAGTCTCAGCTGGCCTTTGCTAGCCCAGAATCTTGTGTGAATCTTAAGAGTTCAACCCAAGCTCTTGACTCCAGCTGATGGGAGCTCCAGGGTCCTGTTCCAGTTCATGAGTGAGTAACAGTCCCTCAGCAGGAAGTCTGGCATTGTTCTCTCCGCTTTCCTTCCTGCCGTCATTCCCCCAAGAGGAAGGTCTGGATTTTTCCAAACTTTCTGCCTTTCTAGTTGCATATCAGTGATAATGAGCAAAGGGACTTGACCCATCCATTATTGTTTCCTGTATATATCTACATCTTCAAGACAAAAGCCAGATCACATTGTGCTGAGCACTGCACAAACATTAAGCACAGGCTACATTTTCACCTGGGATCTTAGGAATCCTCTGCCATGCTCTCTGCTCTTTCCCTGTGAGCTGAGCAGCAGAAGGGAGCTAAGATCTGTTCTAAGACGTGGACGTGGGTGGTAATCCTTCTCTTTCAACCCATGTGAGGGCACATGGGTTTTAAAGAAATGGAGGGAGAGTGAGTCAGGAAACACAAAGGGAGGGGACGATGCTATTAGGTTTGGTTTGGGGTTTTTTGTTTTTCTTATTTCAAAATGTTGATTCATGGTGACTAGGTTTCAGAAACATGTATTTTGTTGGCCTCAAGTTTAATTAGATGTTAAGAAAATTTTTTCACAAAAAGGTTGTAAAGCATTGGAACAGAGTGCCCAAGGAGTTGGTGGAGTCAGCATTCCTGCGAGTGTTAAAAAGCATATGGATATGGTACTTAAGAACATGGTTGAATGGTGAACGTGGTGCTTGTGCTAGGTTAACAGTTGCATTTGATGACCTTAAAGGTTTTTTGCAACCTTAGCAATTCTATGATTCTATGATTTTGGTTAAAAAGCAAGGTCTTCACTTTGAAGTGTTCTCTTAACAACTAGTTGGTTGCATTTTGCAGCCACTGCACAACCTACCACTGTGATAAAAGTGACCTGAAAGATGAGGGAATGCCATTAATCTGATATTAACCAAAGCCCAAGCAAGTCCTTCACAAACTCAATATGGAGTTTTCTGTTTATTACAGAGAATTTGTGTTTTATTAGTGTGCAAGAATAGGACTTAACTTGCCTTAGCTTCCTATCAGCTGAAATAACTGTTTAATCCTGTCTGTCCTTTTAGTGGCCTTACCCCTCAAGTGTGTTTTAAAACTAAGGAGAGAAGAGTTGAGATTCCAATCCCAGAGAGCTCCATCACAGTGACAATCAAAAGCTCTGGAACTGCTTTTGCTACCAGAGAATTTGTAATTCACCAGAAAGACATCTGTAAGTATCAGGTCATATGTGTGTACCTAAGGCCTTTATACTATGTTTAACAATGTTTCAGATGCTTGCAGGTTTCTTTGACAATGTTCCTATATGTAGAATGTTGATATAGTGACTCCATGAAAAGCTTCCATATATTTTTATAGATTGTGTTCTCTAACCCTTCAAGAGAAGGAATACTCCTCTTACCCATAGTTCATAGCATAAAAAATCAAGGGCAGAATGTGAGAAGGAAAACAAAATACAACAATGTTGCATCCCTCACTCTTTTCCCTTTTTAGTCCTAGTATAAATTAGGAAGCATTTGTAAACAAATTCCTAAACTACATACATAAGTAAATGAGACTTTTTCCCACTTCTTTCCAGGCAAAGAAGGAAATTGTAAACAGGAGATGGCAGTGATGCAATCTGCCATGCTTGGTCTAGTTTTTACCTTTGGTTTCCCTGCTTACTCCTTCAGTGTAGTCAGATTCTAATGTCAGTAATGCTTCTTATCCATGGTTCTGTTTTCAGTCAAGAGCAGCTCAAGAACTTATACAAAATGCAATTCAAAAATATTTGGTCAACATGATAAGTCTCTCAGTTCATCACAGGTTATTGTGGGCAGTGTATTGATTGTGCTGAATACTTTGTAGGCTCTCAGATCCTTGGTCAGGACTGAAGCTGGATGTATCACACGTATTTTTAAAATGTTTTAGCTTGCACCAGGCCCAATCAACTGCTATAATCCTTATAGTACCAAGGTTCTTCCCTGTTTCTCAACCTCTTGCTTCACCACAGCACATTTTTAGAAGAGATACTTCTGTTTAATCTCTTATGTCCTGTCCCTGTCAGGATCTCATGCACTTAATACTTCTTGTAGCTTAAAATCACTTTCCCTGTGATCTTCAGAACCTCATGTGAGCTTCTTCTATCCTGTGCTTCTGGTCTCCTTCCTTGCCACTCTCCCTTTTGTTGCAAGTCCCCACTTCCCTGCTTGTCTCCAAAACATACTTCTTCTTTTGGGGATTTTTTTTCCCGCCATTCTCCCTAGAAGTGTTCTCATGCACACTTCAAACACTGCCACCATATTTCCTTTATCATTGTGGTATTGAAGGAAGGTTGGGAGAGACGGGATATCTTCCCTGGTATGCATTGCAAAGAATCATATTCACAATCAGTTACTTGCCCATCTACATGCTGAGGTGTTAAAAGAAAATGCTACCTGATGATTCATCAGCACCTATGCTTTCCTGAGAACTCTCATGCTCAAGTAGCCACAGAGCCTTGTTCTAATTAAACAGAGGTTGAGTTACATGTTTGTATGGCTACTAGCCAGTTCAGAGCGCAGGGATGTGGCTGTTAAACACCTGTAGGGCTGGTGCTGCTGACTAATGACCTGAAAATGACTTTTTTTTTCTCCCCCTGCCTCTTTTTCAAGCCTTTGTTCCTGTCACTCCACACATTCTTAGTTTAATGCCTGACTTTCCAACTTCCACATTGAATCTGAAGTGGAGTGATAATGGATCGATCTTCCCATATGGACTGGATGCCCTTTGGCAGATTCAGATACTCCGAAAAGAAGCTATGGAGGTAGTCACACAAGTAAGTACCTTTCTTCTTTTATGAAAAATATATGTACAGTTTTTGCCTTTTGTAATGTTCTGAGAGGTCACTTGAACAAAACTGGGAACGATGAAGATAGTAGAGCTTTGCAGGACCTGAGTGTAATTATGCTTCTGGCAGGTAACTTCTTGTTAAATTTCACAGTTATGGGAACACTGGCTACTGTACTGTTGGTACTTGGTCACAGCAATTTATTTTTTTTTCTGGTACAGGGACTTTGGAATTAGAACTTACTCATGAATTTGGCAGATACTTTACACCATTGTCTCTGTGTCTCCAACAGTGTCTCCAGTCTTGGTCATCTCTGAATGTTCAGCTTGCTATTTTCTTTTTTTGTAACCAGAGTTCTTCCAGGCCAGTTTGTAGCTCTGTGCTATAAATTTTAATAATGGACAAAAGATGAAATGTACAGCCTGGGAACTAATATTAGACGAGTTTTATTTTGGAGAATTTGAAACATTTAGCTGCCTATGAGATTCCCAGGGTGCAGTATACCTCTTTAAATGCTTGGGAATCCTCTTGCTCTCCCTCAAATGTCTGCCCTCTGGTATTTCTGGCTGACAGTCTACCTAGCTGTTAGGCTGTTTAGCCACTTAGACTTTTGGCCAGGTAAAGTCATAAAAGTTAGGTAGAACACTCCAATAATCAAGGAGGATTTTATGATTTACTTCACGATTTGCCATTCTGTTGACACTTTGGAGATTATATGTCACTATTAACAAGTGCTCATAAGCTCTGTCTTGGTTGATTTCTTGGTGCAAAACCTTTGCAGGTTACTTACTACTCAAAACTGACTCATGAAGATGCCATTCTTTCTTGGAGCTGGACATCAGATATGCCTTTGGAGTGCACATCACACTATGTGAAGATTCGCTGTTACATTAATGCAACACAGTTTGTTGGCCCCAAGGATTGGAGTGACTGGAGCCCAGCAAAAGTAATCCCTGGTATGTTTGTTCCCTTGCAACCACATGGACTTTTATTTCTTTATAAGAATTAAACCAAGGTCAGAGGAAGAGCATTAGGTGGTTAGCATTAGGAAGAGCATGGGCTGCTCCCTTTGAGACTGTTATGATTAGAGAAATAATGCAATCACTAGTTAATGAAACCTAGCAAATATTTATTTGTATGCATTGGAGTGCTCCTCAGTCGCATTTTAGCTGATCATCACTGTGTTTATAGCAAATTGTTCATGTGAGGTTTCTTGTTTGTTTTCTTCCTTCTCTGCTAGGAAAAGATACCGAGCCTGGTGGAAGTGGAGTGTTTCCTCTGGACCGTGTGGTGGCAGTAGGTTCAGATTTGGTGTTTTGTTGTGTCCATGAAGAAGATGAGCACATAAAAAATATGACTTATGGATCGAAATCCTATACAATGATGCAACTGAGCCGTCGAAGCCATGCCATCAGAGTGCTAAATGCCAGTGTTTCAAATACCAGCGGAACAAATGTAGTGTGCAGACTCGAAAATGGGTTGGAAGGAAGTGTCGTGTTTGTAGGATGTATGTATCATGATTACTAACCTTAGGAAAATCAAAATCATTTTGAGACTCTTAAGGTTCTGCTAGGAAAAGAATACTATTGTGGGTTTTTTCCCTCCCGGGGAAAAATTTTTGAAGTTTGGTTCTGAAGTTGAACTGGGGATTGTACGTGTTTGATTTCACTGTGGAAAGGCTAGCTCATGGGAGAGACACCAAGTCTGAAAGGATGAGAAGGTACCCATGTAATCCCTCTTTAGACCCTGCCCCAGGTTCTCTCATTGTTGTAAGGTACTTTTTCATGATCTGGAATGCCAAGTATTTTATTGCCATATGAATATTCAACCCCTGCCTCTACCAGTCTCTATCAGTTTAGGTTTACATCTGTTCTAGTATAGTCCATGACTAGGTGAGAGTAAGAGCAAGAACTGTAAGTGCTAACATTCATTTACCCATCAGTCAAGTGAAGACAACAGTTGCAGGAACAACAGGTGCTCATCCAGGGCAGAAGCTCCTTGGGGGCTAATTACAGCAAAGGAAAGCATTCTTCTAAAACATCCTTTTAGTGTTTTCTTTAAAGATACTGACTCACTCTGTATCTTCTCTGTGTAGGCATGCAAGGCTCAGACATATGTTCAGAAACAGATACCTATTAAAACAAATGACTTAACGTACCTCATTCTTCTTCCCCATAATTGGTCACTTTAAAGTTTTTTATGTTTTTTCCTCACAAGGAATTTGAGAGTTGTCTTCCAATAGCTGCTCATTAGAATCCCATTCCCGATTACAAATGCCTGCCTTTGAACTTAAGGTCCTTGGTGTTGAGGAAAAGGACAGGAGAAACTGGAATAATTTTGAAAATGTGTTCCAATCTCCAGCCTGTGCATCCTGACTTAGTCTGTTAAGGGTTCACTAGGAAATGTAAAACATAATTCAGCCTTTTATTACTTCTCAGTGATACACCATTTTTACGTTATGCGTGAGAATTTGCTTTTGTGGGAAAATCTTCCAGGTAAATAGATCAAGAATGAAAGCTGTGACAATCCCATAGGATTTTCCTTCAATTTTTTTTTAACAGATGGGATGCCAAGTCTGTTTCTTATCAGTGTTTCTTTTTGTAGTACCGGCTTAGTGGGGAGAGGTCTTGTTCTAGTCCTCTTGCTGATGAGGGGAAGAAAAGGTGAAGGAAGTAAATATGCATACATATGCATACATAACACTTTGGTTAAGCCTAGGTCTAGCAAAACAGGTGTTCTTTTCTGGCTCACTGCTCATAATCTGAGCTAGGTCTGCCGCTGTTGTTAATTAACACTGTGTGTTACCTCCCCTTCTCTAGGGCAGAGAGAAGGGGATATATCTCTATGTGGATATTGTTGCTCTACCTTTGGCATACGTTTTTCCAGTTTCATACAACTCAAGTGTACAAGACCTGAAATAAGTGCTCTGCCTAGTCTCATGTTTGCATGGTCTGTTGGGAGCATTGCCCATCTTTTCCAGCAAGGCACTCAACGCTGCTCTAGTATGAACACAAAGAACAAGACTTAAAAGGAAAAGATGGAAACTTCCAAAGCCATGGTGAAGAGGATGAGCCATTCAGGGCTTGCTTTAATTTTCAAATTCAGTTTGGAATTCATGCTAAAGGGACTATTTTCTTGACACGACTTGTTTGGAAAATTCAAAGCAGTGGTGGGGCTGGCATGTTAGAAAATGTGACGCACAGCCGACAGCATTCCTGCGTTGCTCAGCAGCTGAACTGATGCTCAGAATTTCAGAAAACTCTTGGCATAGTTGCAGTGAAACACTTCCAGGTCAGAGCCTGGAGCTTGTGAACATGTTTGCATGAGATTTGCCAGATTACCCACCCACTTAGAATTCTAGAGTCAAGTGTTAGTCAGATGGGGCTGATAATTATCCATTTATTTTATTGTAACTTTTTAAAAGCATATTGCTTCTGTGGTTGGGGTGTATCTATTGCCATGTATTTTTGAAGCATGCAATCTAGACCCAGCAAAACAAAAGAGCAATGCTTTCAGGAAGCCAGTGACTCAAATGTCACACTAGGATGGCAAAACATCAGCTAACTGTTTTGGTTTCCTTTCCTGCTACAGATGCTCCTGATATTCCCCAAAACCTCAGCTGTGAAACACCCAACTTCCTGATAATAAAATGCAGCTGGAAACCAGGCAGGCCCAGTGGACTATATGGAGAACGAAGAACAAAGTACAGTTTATTTGAAAGGTAAAATAGTCAGCACTACAAGTAGTAAAAGGATACAACTGGAATACCTCCACTGCTGCCTGGGACTTACTGCAACATACACATTTAAATGTAATTGCTTAGAGTCTAAAATACTTTCCAAGAGTTTCAGCAAGCTGTACCTAAACTAGATTTGGAAAACCTTGGTCTAGCTCTGCAAAATTCCAGTGGGAATTAAGGATAACTTTCCCTAAGGCTTATACCATTATGAACCCACAATCAGATAAAGGGCTTACTGTATCAGGCTGCTGCCAACATGTAGTCAAGACCAGTATGAAAATACAGGGAGACAGTAGGAGGCAATCACTAATTTTTAATTTTTTTATATGAAACCTGGTTCAGATAATTTCAGACATTTACTGAGCTTCTGGTAAGCAGGATGACAGAAGTTCACTGAGAAATAATTGTAAGACAGGTTGTGGGGCATTTCCCGAATGCCACTAGGGAAAATAGTAGTTAGCCTCCATCTGTTCTCCTGCCGTTAAGAATTAGAGCAAGCAGAGTAGATGTTAAAACATTGAAAAGGACAAATAACACTGGTTTCACCCACAGGAAGCAGTCAACTAGTGTTCTACTACATAGTCTTTAAGGCCAGGCCATGTAAAACCTTAAAAAAGAAGAAATATTGGAATAGCACTTGGAAAGTGCAACTACTTCGTGGTGGTTGTGATTAGAAGTTAGTGAGGAGTTAACAAAATTCCCATGGTGAGAGGAGGCTCTTGTGTCATTCCAAAGGAGCAGTCAGGGAAAGAAGCCAGGAGAGGCCTGAGTCACACAAAACGATGAGAAATGGAGTCTCGTGGTGGCTTAGAAGCACACTGGAGGCAATGAGGTTTGAGTTACAGTCACAGATGTCATCTAGAGTGCCAGTGCTAAAAAAGCCGCTGGGTAGGGTGCAAAGAGGTGGACAAAACAGGGCAGATATTCACAGGAAAGGAGCTTCAGTCACTGACTGCCCATATTCATCTTATAAGTAATAATGTTGTCCAGTCTTGTTTTGCTCAGCCCAAATTTGAGAGATTAATATGATGCATTTCAGGATAAATACTCTCATCCTTATTGTCAGACTATGCTGAACTATAGAGCACAGTGTGGAGGGAGCTCAGAGCTCAGCTAGAACACAGTAAAAATGCCTGAAAGAAGTAGTTAGTTAAACTTGCGCTACTGAAAGAGAGGCTTACAGAGACTGTAATTAAAACAGATATATGTACATATGTACAGATACACAATTTAGATTTTATCCCTAAAGATGCACCACTGTTCTTGTCTGTTAACACACTGCCTCTCCTGCTTTTTATTAAAAGACAGCTGGGACTAGTGGATGTATTCCAGGTAGGAAACCTGACTTCATTTTTAACAGGGCTTATAGAAAGACAATGTGTATAGCATCTCACTAGTTCACAAAGCAATTAAGAAAATTCTTTAAATGCAAATGTATGCTGATCTGAACAAAGATACATTCAATCAGAATCTTAGCTGTGACTTGTAAGGTGGTTTTACAGGACCTACCTGTTTTCCAGGCTTTTGAGAAGTGAGAGAATGGAAATATTATGCTAGTGGAAGAGGAGAGTTTCACGTGAGAACAGGGCAAGTCATGACTGATGCCACTTTAACCTGCGTTGTGGTGTTAGATATGCCTCTGCAATCAAATCATTCTGTAAGCCATGTGAACTGAACCCATCGTTCTGTACCATGTTTTCAGTCTAGACTTGTGATTGCTGCTAGGAATTAACTTACTCAAAAACTAAGGTTTTCCCTCTTCTCTTTTCTTTGTAGAACATCTGGTAAAAATGTTTCATGCGAAGTCAATGAAATGAACAGAGACCATGTATGTGGCTTTCCAGTACTGCCTGATCAAAAAACCTATGATTTCATATTAGGTGTCTCCAATCCTATCGGGCAAGCACAGTCATCTCTTTTGGTTGATATAACTCAAAGAGGTAAGACTTATGACTTACAAAGGGAAAATATGTTTCCTACATGCTGTTTGTTAGTTTTGGGTTTGAAGAGCTCTACATGGTATACTTTTCATTATTTTCCTTAATTGTCACTAGATTATTACCATATTCAATAATATGAACTTGAAAGCAACTCAGAGCATTTCATGAGGCAAAGATGAACTGTACAGGGAGATGCCAACAGCAGTGCTGCCTTGTTGGACGGACAGCTGCGTGATAAATTCTCATATGTGATCCAATAATTAGACAGCTGCTGTTTATCATGGAATCCCAGAGTGGCTGGGGTTGGAAGGGACCTTAAGAATCATTTAGTTCCAGCACAGCACACACACTCTCCACGCCCCACCTCCTGCCATGGACAGGGATGCCACACACCGGATCAGGTTGCTCAGGGCCCTCTCCAGCCTTGCCTTGAACACTTCCAGGGATGAAGCACCCACAGCTTCTCCGTGCTCATAAACAGCAAGTTTATGCTTTGTTTCACATTCTATTACCCATCAACAATTAAAATTTAGGTGTAAGTTTATGAACCTGTACATAAATTACCCTGTATTTCAGTGTCTGCTTACAAGACAAAATATTACACAGTTTTACAGCAGCAGGATTTGGAGCATAAAAAAATAACACGGAAAGACAGAAGGTAATATCAGGACTGTTGTGTCCTATTGGTAATAGCCATGATCATCTGCTGTCAGGGCATGGATAAAGAAGTAACTTCTCTCATTTAGACCTTTAGTTTAAAAAAGGAAAGGAAGATGACCATCTCTGTAGCACTGCCTTCACCACCCTTTTCTCCTCCACAGTCCCAGCTGAGATTTCAGGGATTCCTATTGGTTACAGTATTCTGCTGTTCTCCAAAAAACTGAATTAAATATGAGGATAGTACATTTTTCATTGTCCAGGTCCCAGTTCAACTAGCCTGAGATTAGAATTGTCAGAGTAAATTGACAGTTGGGAAAAGCATAATTTGTTTCTGTTAATCATTAACTGGGCTGTTTCACACCCAGGTGATATGCTACTGTTTCCTATTTGTTTCCTTTTCTTTCTTTCCTGCACTGTCTAGTTAAATTCCAAAGCACAGCACATATTTCATTAAGGTATTTGGACCAAATCCAACAGTAGGTATTTTTTTACTCTGATAGCTGTGAATGTTAGTGCTGAATATTATTGAAAGATTCTATGAAGGGAATTTTGGGGTGGGATCATTTAGGAATCCTCCTTTGTCCGGGTCTGCAGATTTTAAGTACTAATTTAAAAAGTTCACGGAAGTTGAACAAAGTACAGTAAATTTCATCTGTCACCTGTGATCTTCTGAAATAGCTAGTGATTCACTCTTTTGATAAAATCAGTTAGGAGGAAAAATGTTTTTCTGTGTCTCAGCTCCTTATCATGTGTCCAGTACACTCAGTCTTAACTAAATCTCTTTCCATATTTGATAGCTGAGAAGATATCAGGAATGAGAGTGCTTGCAGGTGCTTTCCCAGCACCAGTTTTCCCAGCTGCTGATTGAAACACTTATCCTTCTGATTCTCTCTGACCTTCTAAAATAAGATTTTTCTGAACTATAGTAAATGGGTTTTTTTCCTTGCGACTGAAGGTTTTTTTCTTTATTTTTTAAGTTCATCCGAATGCCCCAGAAAAGTTAACTATTACTGGGAACAACTCTACAAGCATCCAACTGCGTTGGTTTATAAATGGCAACTTTGCTGAGACCAGGCTTCTGTGTCAAATTGAAATTAGCAGTAGTCACTCTGAGAGAAAACTGGTAAGCATTGCTTGTAAAAGATAATTTTTTTGAACAAATGCTAAACTTTTTCACTGAACTAATCACATTTCAAATTTATATCTCACCAAGAGCTTCATTCTGATGGTCTTATTAAGTCATTAACATAGTAATGAGTAGAAGTTATTTACTAAAGTTAGAAAAATTCCTGTTCATCTCTGTTATTGCCTGTTTTGGTTGGTGGGTTTTTGTTTTTTTTTTTGTTTTGAACACTAGAGAAAAGCCAAATTATACACCATGTTATTTGGTACTTGAAAGGAGTGCATAGTGCTTTATGCTGATCCTTTAGGTAACAGTCCATGTGCTTTGTCCTTCCTGGTGCAAGCTGTATTAACATACTCTTGTTCCAGGATGCATTGTTGCCCTGCAGACTTCCACACTGGCTGTTTCAGATCTTGAAGTCTGCAGTTGAATTTCTCCCTTTATTTTTTCCCCTCAGAGAACAGTTCATTTGTTTGCTGCCAGCAGTTGACATGCATGTGGCCATGTTAGGCAGCTGCTAAACCTGCTCATATGTCAGTGATGCAGAGGCAGGATAGGGAAAGATTCTCCCATGGGATGGGAGAAGTTAATTTCCAGTTAAACCCCAGTTTGCCTGGAGTAACTTCTGCAGGATGAAGTTAATGTGGGGTGACCTGTATCACTGGGGAAGCCTAATGAGAAGTGCATTTTCAGCTGGCCTGAGATTTACCCCCAGTTTCTTTGTGCGCACTTATCTCTGACCATTTCAAGTAGGCACATAGTGAATTCTCAGGTAGGTCTTGGTGCACAGAGCCTGAATTTTTAATTTGAGCACATTAACCTCAGAGGCTTCTTTTTGCAATGCCTGTTTGATTTTTAGCAGTATTCTGTCACCCTCTGCACTTAGTTGCCAGCTGGGCACAGCTGTTGAGCACAGCCTTGAATATCGTAAATTCAAGCCACAGAAATGATGCAGCTAAGACTGAAGATAATAATTATGTACATGCTTCCAAAATAAGAGGGTGCACGCTCTCTAAGAGTATTTTTTAAATACTTTCAGAGCACTTAATAAGTGCAGAAGCCTTAAGCTTTTGTATTTTGTCTCTAGTAACCTGTGTTAAGTAACACCAGAGATTAGGTACCACAAAAGGAACTCAGATATTTTTGTAATATGCAGCTCAAAGTCTGGGGCCTGGACTCATTTGTGAATTCTGCTACTGCATCAATCATCTGGGATGGTGGAAAAGGGTCAGGACTTACACTTCCACAGCAGTTTGATTCCCTTCACCTGTATCAGAGCCCTCACCCACGGATATTTTGTATGCAGCAAACAGCTTGGCAAAAGCTTTTATAGCTTTGTTTTATGGTTGCTGGTTGCTTAATAAAAAACTCCAGGAGTTCCCTGTCACAAAAGGAGCTGTGAAATTGCTATGGGGTTTTACATGGCATTTTGAGGATGTTTTCAGAAGCATTTCCATCTGCATGAGAGATTGTTGGCTTTTCTAGTATTTTTCAAGTTGTTATTTGGATTTTCTATTATTTTTCAAGTTGTCATTTGGCTTTAGAAATGCAAAATTAGTTGCATCGTAAAGTCACTTGAGTCCAGTTTTTGGCAGCTGTGATGCACATGTGTTATAATTAGAATCAGTAAAAAATATTCCTGGGCTTAGGATTTCTTTAATTGTGAAATTGAAATGCTCTCTAGACTCACACCACTCTAAGAATAATAGGAGAGACTAGTCCTGTCATAAGAGCTGTGAACTGAGATCACTTGGGTAGGACCTGGATAATGTCTTCTAAAGGAAAAATGAAGGCAGCAGACTGCATGATAAACATCCTGCTCAAGCAGACTGTCTTTAGTGAACTTCTGTGCATGTCTCATAGGAAAAAGGCCTTTGTCCCTGCAAGGTGTGCATGTGTTCAGTGGAAGTGTGGGTTCTGAACACCAGAATTCTGGCCTGTCCCATGTGAGCAGTTTTGATGCAAATGGGAGAGAGGGGGACTGAGTGGGATAGATGGGAAACAATCACCTGCTGCTGTGTGCACCCTGTTGAAGAATCACCCATGTTGCTGCTCCTTTTTGCACATTACTGTATGCTTCAAATTCTATCTGTGTAGAACTTTATTTTGGTGGATCTCTGAAGTTTTTGGTCAGGGTGACTGCATGGGACATTTTTTTCCCACTATTTTCTTCATAGGGCTTGACTGCAGCTTTGACACTGTCAGTATTTTTGGGGGACAAAAGCCCTCACCTTTTTAGGTGTTGACTAGCAGTGTAATTTAGGAGAAAAAAAATATACGTATCATGTCAATTTCTGTAAATTTTGAACAGCACAATGTCTCCATACCTGGGCGGAAATCTTCAACTTATACAGCTCAGCTGAATGCACTGCGCCCTGACACCAAATACCAGCTCAGGGTGCGCTGCTCGGCTGCTGACCACTTCTGGAGGTGGAGTGACTGGAGCAGGGGGGTGGAGCAGACTACATCAGAAGCCCGTAAGTTCGTCTCACTCTTGATGATAAAATGTTGAACTTGGGAAGATACGTATTTCAAAATTAGTCATCTAAAAAAACCTAACTTTTCAATAGATGGTAAATTGTCTACTGTGCTACTGGGGAAAAATACTACCACTCTTATTTTTTTATTTAGCTCCTGCAAGAGGACCGGATATCTGGAGAGAGAGAAGTCCTTCGGGTGAAAGCGTAATAGTCTTCTGGAAGGTAGATAGAACAAGTAAAATATTATGTGATGTAACTGTACAAAAAACTATTTACTTTTATAAATTTATAAATATATATAAATGTTTACAAATTAGTAAAGTTTATAGTCAATAAACCAGACTGCTTTTCTTAACTTTTTATAGAACCATCTATTGAGACAAATATTTTTCCCCAAATAAGAATGTTATTAAAGTTTTATAATTTAAATATTGCTTTGAGAAGCATTTCACATGAAGAATTAAATGCATCTGAGTTGAAAATTAAAAACTTAGGAATTTACATGCTAATTCTCAAATTACACATGAGTTACTTTTTTGCCTTATAATCTTACACAGTCATCAGACTAGATCAGGAACTGTAAATTCATATTATCCTATGTCATCTTCTGTATATTGCATTTTGGTTTTAATGCACTCTTTGTCTGTTCATAGCCCTTATCCCTTTCTGAAACCAATGGAAAAATAGTGTCTCATGAAGTGTCCTGCTACCTGCTAGAGAGGCTACTGGAGCGTAAAGTAGTCTCTGAACCCTCAAACAGTACTGAGATAAAACTTGGAAAAAGTGACTGTGTAATTAGCGTTGTTGCCAGAAACCATGCGGGCTCATCTCCTCCTTCAAGGATAACAAGCGTGGAACTTCCAAGTGGTGAGTGCTCCCAGCTGAGAATTAAACACCTTCAAAGCTTGAGGAATATCTAGGAGAGTTTTTTTATTGAAAAATAATGCTTTGTGTGTTTGCGTTTATTTCCCCACACAAATCTGCTGGGTGGGGGGACAAATGCTTTGCTTTTGGAGTAGTGTCTCACCAATTAATTGTGCTCTTTACATAAAATAAAGATGATAACGTGCAGTCTTTACAGCTATTTGCACTTTTCAAAAGCATTGGTGTGGATCCCTGATATTTGGGGAGGTCTGTATTCCTGTGTGGTTCTTGTTGAGACACTGAGAAGTGTTACATGCTAAAGAGATTCAGAAGTTTTGGAGGTGTTGTGTGGCTTTTTAAGGTGACAATTGTCAGTTCAATGCCCGAGAGCTCTGTAGGAGAACATTAATTGGGCTGGTTGGTAAAGTGTTGGCATCCTTGTGCTAGGGAGCCAGTATTTGAAAAGGAGGTAGGGCTTTAGCTTCCCAATTAAAACACTGCTGCTCTTCCTGAAGGCTTTGTATACAGAAATAGCTGAGCCTGATAATGATTTCCTGCTCTTAACACTGAGCTTGCAGAGTAGATAATATTGCAAAGCAGTTATTGAGAGTCCACGCTTCCCTGCACATCAAATCTTTAGCTCCATATCTGGCTGATGCTCTGCAGGGAGAACAGATTCACACAGCAAGGCCTGTCTCGACTTGTTTGCCAGGAGCATTCATGGGTCCACTTCTCCTTGCCCACCTGGGGAACAGGTGTCACAGTTGGTTGTCTGGCAGCTCAGGTTCTGGTAAGCATCTTTGTTGCCCTCCACTGGACCCATGCCAGGAATTCCATGTCTCTATTGTCCTGAGGAGCCCAGAACTGAGCACAGCACTGATGCTAATACCTGGTAGTATATTCTTAGTCTGCCCATTGGAAGGAAAAGTAACTATATGGGACAGTTGATTTGAAATGCTTTTATAGCTCTCCTTTAGTAGAGAAAGAGTCAGGATCTGGAAGTCAAAGAGGTCTATAATAGGTTTGTGGTGTGGGAGAGCTGATGGCAGCTAGAGCTTTGCATTCATTTATAGCTTTCTCTTAGATGTCTGAGGCTCCCTTTGGTGTTACCCAACTTGTACTCATTAAAGATTTGCTCCTGAGTTGGTATAGGAATTGAGCCACTGACTGGAGTCATACAAGATGACTCATTCAAAGAACTGGATGACATTTTTGCCCAGACATCTTTTCTGGCTGCTTCCTGTATGCAGTCTGTAAGTGCTTTTAATGTCAATAAGAGAGCAAAGGGTCTGAAGCTGGAGTTTATGAAAACTGAAAAGACAAACAAAGGATACACTGCCATAATTAATTTGTCACTGTCCTTGAACAGTGCTCTGTAGAGAGTTGAGGCATATAATCTGGCTGATCCAGGCTCCCCTAACACAGTAGTGTTCTAGTGGTAGTAGTTATTTGTTCTTCTAGTCTGCGTTGCAGCTATAAATACACCAAAATGAGTAGTACTGCCCATGATGAATTTCTAGTCATCTAGCTCAGAAAATAAGGTGGTGTGGTGTATTTAAATGGTTTTTATGTGATTACTGTCAGTAAAAAACTCTTTTCTGTAAATAGAAAAATTAATGTCTGCTAATTAGAAATATGATCTTTTCCAGCATCACAGAAATATAGTTTCACTGGATGCATAGTAGTTTTTCTGGGGAAAGTATCAAGGCCCTTGTGGAGTTCATTTGCTTATGTCTTTTTCTTGCCATAAGCAAGCTACAAAACAATTATACACTTAACTGTGTGCTAAGATTATTTAGAAATAGGCAGTCCTTTGACATTTGCAGCACATCTGTGAGAGTAAAGTTTTCATAGCACTAATTCTTGAAAACTGTCCTTGCCCTTCAGCCTTCCCTAGTTTATGGCTTTAATAAAATGAAATAATAGACTCAATGGGGTGCATAAATGAGAACACTGAAAAAGGAAAACTGAAACCCTGAGATTGTTTTTGCAGATCTGTCATGGGGCCACCCCTTTTGTGGTGGCCTTTGGAAACTGTCCCTTAGCTCTGTGGGGTCCCATGTAATGGACAGCCATGGAAGGCAGCTGCAGGAATTGGAAGCTGTTCCCAGATCTGATCACTTCACAAGGGCAGCTAGATCTTTGACAATCAGAAACAAGAAAAATAGATTAAAGGCAAAGCTTTTTTTTTTTTCTTTCTTGTATAATTTACCCTTGGTAGACTGAAGCCTCCATAAAGTTCACCAGGGACATGATTATTGATGTTGATTTTTCATGAAAAATGGTTGTCTGTGGTTGGGCAGGTGACAGCAAGACACTTAGAAAGAAACACAAAGCAAACCATTTGATGAAATGACAGCAGGAATTTATAGCTGGAGGCTCCTGCCAGATTGGTGTCAATTCATATTTGAACCTGACATCTGCTGTAAATCCTTACCTTGAAAAAGTGCTGTTTAAGCCAGTCCTGAGCTGCTGCATTTCTCTTCATTGTACTTAAGGCTGGCTGAGGGATTTGCTGGAGGCTATGTCTGGTTGTGAGCACTCCAGAAAGCTCAGCTGAGTGCACTGCTTCGAATTCTGAGTTCACTCATGCCTCTCATTCCTAGAAATGACTGCCCCTAGAAATGACTGCCGTTTATAAAGCCATTGTGCTGTGGCTGGAAGGCTTTCTTTCATCTTGGGCTTTAGATAAGTGTCTGCTCTTTGATGGATTTTTGTGTCATCTTTGTTGCAGACAATGTCACAACAGATCAGGCCGTGGCGATGGGCAATGGAATTAATATTTCTTGGGATTCTTACCCCAACATGACGTGTGGCTACATAGTAAAATGGTGTCATTCATCTGGGTCTGAACCCTGTAGTGTGGACTGGCAGAAGTTTCCTTCAAGTACAACAAATGCAGTGATAAAATCTGGTAAGTCAGAATACTTTCTTGTGAGTCTTTCTGGTTGAGATCCCAAGCAGCAAGTGGAATGAGAGCAGCATGAAGCTATAGGTTGCAGATGGTTTGATTCCTGTGTACTTCTGTAAATAAATGAATTTCTTCTTGGTACTGTGTTTATTTTAATTTCTTACACAGTCTTGCCAAATCCAAATATCAGTCTTGATTTAACTTTTGTCATCCCGTGTTTATTAACTGTTTTGAAATTACCTCTTCTAGCTGTACGCCAAAATTTCCTAACTCAGCCTAATGCATAGTGGTTAATCTAGGGTTAGGGGTTTTATTTGGATTCTAAGCATAAACAGTGCTGCTCAGGATGGGAGAAGACTAATCCGTTGTTTTTACATGAGGCAAATTTTTTTAAGTGTGACCTCCATGTGTTGGCTTGCTGTCAACTATTGAAATTTCCTGGAACAGGGCACATTCCAGGTCTCTAGATGCTGGTGGGCAGATCAGGGAAATGAAATTCAGCTGTGGTGGGACTAGTAGCAGCAGAAGAGGAAAGAGAGAACCCATTAAAGATGTGTGACTTTTTTCTCTGCTTTCTATAAGGGTATATATTTGCCTTTTAGAAGAATTTAGTATTAAAGTCTCCATTCAAGGAAACAACTTGGACCTGTGTACATGGGAAAGTTGGGGGGATTGAGACCTGGAAGGAAGGGGGCAATATGTTTTTCTGTCTGTAATCGCAACACTGTGTCCATGTTGTTTCTGTTTGTGCTAGCTAGAGATTTCTGTTTTTTTAAGCAGACAATACAGTGTCTGTGATGCACTGCTTTACTCCTGAGCTCTTCACTGGGATGCTTCGTGCAGCATGTGACTCTTTTATGAGTTATCCAGCTGCTAGGGCTGGGCTTAAGCTGGCAAATCCACCTCTGCTCTTAGTCCTGCTAGGAGAATCCCTCAGGCTGGACCTGAACTCTTGAGAAACCCAGTTGACTTCTGTGTAGTTTCACAGTGGTATCTTGTTTAGAAAAAGTCTTGAAAGCAGTGTACAGCCCCAACTTGAGAAAATCCCAGAAAGTGGTAAATTATTTACACATTATAGTATCAAATATCTGTGCTTCCACCAAAGACACGGGGAGCATAAATATGCTGACTATCTGTGTTTTTTAAAGTGAGTTCAGGACTGAAGTTCATTGCTAAGTTGTTTCATTGTCACTTCTGAGAGTTTTCTGCATATCTTTTGTACTGTTGCTCCAGTAAGCCTGGTTATTTCCAAATGCATTTGTATTTCTGAGGAGGCAGGATCTACATGGCTACTGTGGGAGGAAAGGAAGGAGATTATTTCTGGTAACTTCAATTTGTGTTTCCCCATGGAAAGGGCAATTTATGCAATTTGAGTAGCTTGTTTTGAATCTTCTTTGTTTAGTACTAAGCTTTCTCTGGGAGCTAGACTTGGTTACTGCTTCTAAACCACATCTGATGGCATAGCTTTTGTAGAAATTACAAGCAGGAATGGTATTTATACCATTATACTTTCTAATTTTTTAATATGTACTTATATATCTGCATCATGTGAAATCTAAAAGCATTGTTCTTCTGAAGTGAAATATTCTTACAGCTGTTTTCTCTTGCAGCTCTCTTCAAACCTGGCGTGAGATACAACTTTTCTCTGTATGGCTGCAAATCCATGGGATATCAGTTGTTGAAAAACATAACTGGGTATATGAAAGAGCTGCGTGAGTGCACTTTTATCATTCAGGATCTCTGAAAAGTGAACTTAGTCTGTGTTTGTTTTTTAGCTCAGTGTTGGTAGAAGGCTGAGACCAGAATCTCCCTGCAGTACTGCTGACTTCTGTTTGTTCTGTGTATAACTGTAACACATTTCTCCAGCCACTTGCAGTTCCAAGCTTATGCAATAACCCTGTGTTCTCCAGCTTGTGTGGTGGCACAGAGTGTCACAGCAATTCACAGCCATAATTTGAACCACATGGCTGTGGTCCATTCTACACAAGAAGAGGCAACTTTTTTGATTCATCAGGTCCAAGTAAACTTCTAAGCACATCTGGTACAGCTCAGAAAATGTAAAAAGTATCCATAACATTTCTGTGTTGAAATGAAAGCACTTCATAGATCCAAACTAGATCCTAGAGCACAACTACTATGAGAATTGTATTCTGTCCCAGACAACCCTGTGTGGGTAACTGGGGTTTGACCCAGTGCTGAGCTTTGCTGGTGTGAAGATGCATTAGTGTCTGAATGCTTTCTGTTCCCAGGTGTCTGGACATGACTTTAGCCTTTAACATCATAGCTGTATGGTATTGTAACTACAGCACCGATTTCACTTTGAAGTTTAATGTGTTTTCTGCTAAAATAGTTTGCCTAGAAAACTGAACTGCTGACATAATCTGAGTCCTTGGAAATGGTGTTGTTTACTTCATTGCTAAGGTTGAAGGTGAGGTTAAGGCGATTTTACCAGAAACTCAATTGTCAGCCATTTGTATTTCTGCAGAAATTCTGAAAGGTTTCCCAGAAGAGTTTTCCATATGTGTTATGAACAGATCAAACAGAAGCTTTCAAGATAAAAAGACTTTGAGGGACTAATAATGAGTTGAGCGTGCAGAAGAAACTTATTGGGAACTGAGAAATGCACAAGAGAGCATAGATTCATGCTAAAACTTCAGATTTGCCTTTGGACAGATAACCATCAAGAGAAAAATTGATGCATTCTTAAACATGAGTTTAGCCATGGTGGTTTAAAGCCAAATGTCAGCTAAGTCCTGACATTATACATGGGGGTATACATTAGCTGCTGTAACACTTTCAGTAGGCCTCAGGTATTGGAAAAAGGACTTGTGTAAACTGCTAAGAGTAGTTCTTTTAAGCTGAGATGGTAAAATTGTGTAGGTTTTTTCTTTTTGTTTGTTTTAAGACAGGCTATGAGTTAAAGCCTGTAAAAGCTAACATGTATCCTCTGAATGTTTATACAATCTTTAGGGGTTTGTTGCAGGAAGAAGGGTATGGGTCTGTAAGAAGACTGACCAAAGAGAAATTTTTCTTCTAGCACCCCTTAGTAGCTAATACTGCAGTAATTATTAACAATTAGCCCAACTTTGCTGTATTTTTGTAGACTCCTGCTAAGGCTTTCACATGTACTTTACAGTGAGGAGTCTTGAGGAATATGTTGGAAAATGCTAGCTCCAAAATAAAACTGATTAAATACTTACATATTTTCAGCATTTTATAATAAGGCAATTTCTTACTGGTTTCTTCCTTCATAACTCTCTCTACAGCTCCAAAAACTGCACCAAATTTTATTGTTGAAGAAACTTCTTCAGATTCTATATTGGTAAAATGGGAAGACATTCCTATTGAAGAATGCAGAGGATTTCTAAAAGGATATCTTCTTTCCTTTGCAAAAGGTGAAAAAGATGCTTTAAAGCCTAGACTTTCAGAATCAGGTAAGTTAATTGTGTAGATTGCAACTTCCTTGCTTACATATTTCCTTTCCATTTCTTAATAATTTCATTTCACCTTAATAAAAAAGATGCTTTAATAATAATTCAGTTGCATTACTCACTGTTATAATTTGCTCCTGATATGTGACAAAGGCATTTAAAATGCCTTTGTGTGATTAGCCCAGTTGTTTTTTAATACAAAGCAAAAGTTGGAGAAAACCCTGTCTCACTGAGGCCATAAAGTAATGCAGTGACTAAGGGGCAATGTGTCATGCTGTCCTGTGCTCAGATACCCCGGGGAGATGAGGTGGGGAGGTTACAAGGCTATATTTAATAGGGTTAAATAAATTTAACATTCTTCCAGTGCCTGTCCTGTCAGGACTGAAGCCTGACTGACATTCATAAGAGGACACTCAGGAGGGTAAGGAAATGTAGTCAATCTGCAGCAGCAGCACCACACTCCTGTGTGCTTGGGGCTGTGTAAGCATGCAGCATTGCTAGGGTTCTTTATTTCAGTTTTTTTTTTACACAGACCGTTCTTCTGGTTTCATCTGCTCACTTCAAGACAGTTTTGCTGAAGCTGAGGTTGTCTTTTTTAATCCTTTCTTACGAAGTTATGCTTTTCTTACTGCTTCCAAACAAACAGGAAATCCAGAACTTAAAGTTAACAATATCACTGACTTAACAAAGAAGTCTATGAAAATACTTGATCTTCAAGGCAAAACGAGTTACCAGCTGGAACTACAAGCCTACACTGCTGGTGGATTGAGCCCTCCAAACAGCCTCTATGTGGTGACAAAGGAAGACTGTAAGTTGATTATCCCTGTTCAGACATATCCCTGTCTTTAGCACTGGGCTGTACAATGTATATAAAGCTGAGCTTATTTTGTTGGTTTATTCTGGTCCTGTAGGTTTGGGCCTACAGTCTAATTTTTACCTTTATTTAGTTGGTTATTTTTAAATACAAAAATACAGTTCAGAGTAAGGGAAACATCCTTTTCTATTACAGCTACTTTGTAGTTCATGGTAATGTATGCATAAAAAAATAACTTCTAACCTACTACTAAATATAGTGGAGTCTGAGCTTAGTTTTCTCAAACAGCCAGTTGTTTCTGCCAGGTTTCCCATTATGAATATCTGCTAATACATGATGGGAAGAAAGACATTGTGGAAATATTTATCAGTTTCAGAGTTGAAAACAGATGCTTCTCTGCTTTGAATTCAGTTTTATTGATCCCTTGACAGAAGCAAACACAGAAAGACAATTACAAAAAAGAGATTGACTTTGGAGAATAAGAGAAAAAAAGTATTTCCTATGAAGTGAAAAAAAGAGAAAAAAAGTATTTCCTATTGATCCCTTGACAGAAGCAAACACAGAAAGATAATTACAAAAAAGAGATTGACTTTGGAGAATAAGAGAAAAAAAGTATTTCCTATGAAGGACTAAACACTGGGGTGCAACTAAAATCAAGCTTGAATCATTTAATATCAATGGAAGAAGGCAGTGGAGATCTATTGGAGCTAAAGCTCAGGGATTAGAAGCATTGTAAAACATATAAAAGACAATGCTGTTTATGCAATTAGTTGTTGGCCTAGAAGAGCCATTATCAGAAACTGGGCCAGCTCAGGTAGCATGAAAGTGCAATGCAAGTGCTTAATGAGAACAGAATCACTGTACCAATGAGTCTTGTGCTGCACATGAAGCCTTCTGTAATTAAACAATCAGAGAAAAATATCTGCTGATTCCTGTAGTTATCAATGAATCTGTGAATTCCAGCAAAGGGAAAGGGTGATAGTGTAGGTCACTGTTTGCAGACCATTGCACTAGCTGAGTTTAATGGAATGGGGGGAATATTAGAAAAGTTTAATGGGGGGAATATTAGAAAAGCCATAAAACTTACTGATTATATTGGATATGTATTTACTGTCTCCTCTTTTTCTTATCCCCCAGCTGTAGGATTAATCATTGCAATTCTCATCCCTGTTGCAGTGGTGGTGCTGCTTGGAGTGTTGGCCAGCATCTTCTGCTACCGAAAGAGGGAATGGTAACTGCCTGCTCGGGTTCTCATCTTTTCCTGGAAGTGTTTGCTTCAGTGCTAGGGTTTTCCATGATTTTAGTTACTCCCTGTTTTCTCTATATACCCAAAGATGTTGGTGGGCTTTGTTCAATGGTGGGTGGCAAAAACACCATGTGGAAAGTGAGGGAGAAACTGAGCTGGAGAGAGGTCAGAGGGAGGAATGCAAAAAGCTTTTGCAGGAGCCTCTCTTCAGTGAGCACCGTTTATAAACAGTTCCCGAGTGGAAATAAGCTGGCGACATACTGTAATTTGTGTGCCCTCTACAAACAAAGATAGACGTATCATCTTCAGCTTTTAGTAAATGTGGCATATTAAATTCCCAACTTAAAAATAAAAGGGGTTGCTGTTTTTTCCATTATACTCAGTGAAAGTTTAACACACTAAATCTTTGCACCAGATGTCTTCAGTATTCTGAGTTAAAGGGAAGTGTCCTGACTCCTTTTGTGTATTCGCAATCTGTTTCAGGCCTTTCTATCTTTATAATAGTTTATTCTTTCCTCTTTAAAGGATTAAAGAAACATTTTATCCAGAAATCCCAAATCCTGAGAACAGTAAGGCACTGCAGTTTCAGAGGAACATCTGTGAGGTAACCCTTATTTTAAATCTAGTATTTTAAGCTTCTAAAAGATAAAACCAGTTAAAGAATTCTTTTGCAAACTTTGACTCATCTGTTCCAATTGTAGGAAAAAATTCTGTGGCAGGGGGAAACAAGCCAATTTACTGAGTAACTTCTGTCAGGTGCTATCTAGAGCTTTGTTGTTGTTAATGTAGTTAATTGCAATGTTTGAACTAGGAAAGGACTGTTGCATTTCTCTTCTTCCAGCTAATGAGAAGTGTCAGTACCTGATAAGAATACAAGAGTAATACAGGCATCTTTGTTGAAGTATTAGAAGAAGCAGGAAGTATGGAGATCTGCCATATCCCATTATCCCGGTAGATACATTAGTTGAGATGGGCAGAATATTTAAACAGCCTTCAGAAATGGGTTGTACAAAGACAAGATTTGGAGAAAGTTCTTAAAAATATACTGCAAGATCTCAAGTCTCTTTAATTTGCATAAAATACTTCTAACATTTACAGGAATGTGAGCCAGAAAATGATAAGCACTTTTTTCTTTTTAATGTATCATTATAGTGGCCATGGAATGAGTACAGTCCACAAGCCACCAAACTGCTGTAATTTCAGCAACTTTTGCTTTCAGATTTTCCAGATCTTTTAGCTTAGTGTCTCTCCCTTCTCCTTTTTCTCATTTCAGGGGAGTAAGACACTTAAAACACTGGAAATGAACCCATGCACCCCCAACAGTGTTGAAGTGGTGGAAACACAGTCCACAGCTCCAAAGATTGAAGACACAGAGATGATGTCCCCAGCAGCAGAGACCACTGTGCCTGAAGATGGCTCTGACTCAGAAATGGAAAACCATGTTGTTGTCTCCTACTGCCCCCCTATCATTGAAGAGGAGATCTCAAATCCCCCTGCAGATGAACCTGGAGGGTCATCTCAGGTGGTTTACATTGACATCCAGTCAATGTATCAGCCTCAAATTAAACCAGAGGAGGAGCCAGAAATAGACTTAGTGACTACAGCAGGCTATAAGCCACAAATGCAGCTCTCTATCAGTGCTCTGAAAATAGAGGGCCATTCACCTGTGGAGGAAGAATTGGATAAAACTGCAGGTTATAGACCTCAAGCAAACACAAATGCGTGGAACATGGGCACTCCAGACTCTCCTGGATCAGTTGAAAGCAACAATGAAAATGCATCTTTTGGGAGCCCATGTTCAATTAATTCCCGACAGTTTTTGCTTCCCCCAAAAGATGATGAAGACTCTCCTAAACCCATTAACACAGGGTGGTCCTTCACACACTTTTTTCAGAACAAACCAAATGATTAACAGTGAGTCCTCATTGCATGTGAACCTGCCTTCTGAATAAGCTTTTATTCCTGGTATTGTTAAGAAAGGAAGAAGAAAAGTGCAAAAGGCATGAATTATTCTTGGAGACAGTCAGCAGAAGTTCTAGTGAGCTGAATGTTACCATGTTTAAGTTAGTCAAAGTGTTAATATTCCATTGTAATAGAGGCTGAGAGGCCAAAATTATAGCAATTTAGTTATTACTCTAGTAAAATATATTGGATGTAAGGGGTTTTGAATTTACAGCCCCTGATAATTATAGTCAAAGAACTCTGCCTGCCTTCACAGAGTGCTCCAAGATAAACATGGTCTCATGCAATTTATAACTTGGAAAGATTGCTTTGCTTTGTTGCAGTTGTTCTCCATGCAGACTCAAATGATGCAGCACCAACAGATTTCCTTACTGAAGGTTTAATTTATAGCAAATCTCAGCCTAAGACTCAGAAACAATGTGGTTGGAAACTGTTGAGATCTTGTACCTAGTTATAAACAATGAACAAATGAGAGTGCTATTTTTTTTCTTCTCCTGTATGGAAGGTTATTGTCACTGTTTAACACTTACAAAGCAATGGCCATTCAAATCTGTTGCTTTTTGACTAGACACTAATTTCTGTACCTACTGTACAATGTTTATTAAATGTTTGACTCAGGGGTACAAACTTGGGGAAAAGAAGTGTAACACTGATTGAAACCTCAACAAGAACTGCATAAAGTTTAAAACTTCCTTTTTTACAAAAATACCTTAGAATGCTCTATATTTTTTCTATCTTTTGGTTAAAGAGTTAATCTTGCCTAATGTATTGCACTAATACATTTTGTATTTCATAGCTTCTGCTCTAGACCTCCTGCTTTGAAGTGGTACAGTAGTCCATTCACCCTCAGTGTTCAGCAGATTTGCACTATGCAGTAATGTAAGCCACGGGGAAATCTCTGTCAACTCACCTTAGCTGCTGAAGCAGTTTGGCACATGAAATTAGAGGTAGTAGGACTAGGTCCTTGAGGAGAAATTGCTTTTTGGATGGTCTTTATTGTATTAGCTTTGTATTACCTGCTGTCTGACTGATCTTTGATCTTATGTGTCAACCCAACAGGACCTTCTATACAAATCCTACCTGGGACTACAAAGTAGGATTTCTCTAGTGGCAGAGAGAAACCCAGGGAGGTTTTAGTGCCACTAATTCTACCTCTCCTTTACCAGATATGTGATGCAAAGAAAGCTTAAATTATGTACATTTGTGTGCTTAAAGGAGTGTTTAGAACAATCATCTTTTAAAATGCTTGTTTTCCCATGTGCATCTCTAGACAACTGTAACTGTAACATTTCACTGTGTAAATTTCAGGCTGTGGCACACATGAATTTCACTAGTTTACAGGAGAAACTTTTGAGAAATTTACCTGTTTCTTCCTGTAAAACAGTGGGGAGGTATCAGATGAGCTTGATCAAAAAGGGTCTCCATAAGGTTCTAACCAATTTTTTTTTAATCTCCATTTCCTTAGCTACTGTGCTTTGTTTGGGGTTTAGATTTCTGTTTGGTTTTGGTTTTTGGGTTTGTTTTTTTTTTTAAATAAATAAGACATTGGAATGGTTTCCTAAAGAAAACAGATTAGGAGACTGAATTGGCTAGGCTGCTAGTTGTAAAGGTGTGAGAGCAGACCGGGAGGATGACTTGACAGACATTTGGTCTCCAAACCACATGATCTGGCTCTCAAAATAAAACCAAGTATAAGCTTAAACCTAATCACAGCACTGGGTGTTTCAGTTTCAGAGGCTGGCGTGTCTCTGCCATCTCCATAGAACAAAAGTGTAGGGGTGTTTCAGAACTGACAAAAAGGCAAAGCACTAAATAGTTACCATAGTAGGTAACAACCCCCTGTGTGTGCCTCCCAGACTAGTGAGCTGTGAAGTACTAAAAACAGGTCTGTCTGCAGGTCTGGCAGAGTGCAAGGTGTCTCTGAAAGGACAGAAAGTGCACATAGGATTCATCTGTTGAGTCTATGAGTTAGCAGGGCTGCACGTGGAAACACAGGCAGTGCAAAGAGCTGACGTCCATTTGTGGCCAAGCGTCCGCACAAGAGAAGTGTCATAGCATATTACTTAAAACATTAAACTAACACATGAAAGGAAGCACTTAAGCCCTTTGTGACTGATAGCTGGGAGGAGGCTAAATCCTAATAGTGGCAACTGTTTTTCATAATTGTTTTTTAGAGTATTTCTTTTCACTAGTGTAGATTTGGCTTAATGTGTCCATCTCCTAAGATGAATTTTAGCTTTTGCTGCTATATGCTTTTAATTGAAAGCAGATTATGTCATGGACAGCATGTATGGGTAGTGGTTAGGGTTTTTTTTTTTTATAGAGCAGATTCTCAGTACAGAGAAGCAATCAGTATTGCATGGTGATCCAACTGGAAAAAAAAAACCCTCTCTGTAGCAGAACAGCTGACCATGAAGAATAACTGTGCTTTTCATATGGCTGTGTATTGCAAGAAACAAAATCAAACTGCCATTTGAGAGTACTAGGAATTTTTAATTTGGAGACTGGAAATCAAGGCAGCTTCAGAGAACACACAGAGCTCTCACAGGAAGCAGTTTAGGACCATTGTCAGTGTTCATATGGTGAATCACTTACACATAAGCATCACATACTCAGGTTTCCCAGTGTGCTGCTCCTCCTATTCAGTAAAGACAACAACATTTTAAATTTCTTCATTTCTTAGTGATTAGGTAAGGAAAAGCTCCACAAAATATATGTTCTGCTTCAATGTTGATCTTTTAAACTCCCTCTGACCTAGTTATTAATCTCTTTTTTTTTTTTTTTTCCTAATTCTTGACTATATATCTGGTGTTCTGACTTTCAGGATGCAGGTCAAAAAGGTCCTTTAACTGAAATGGCCTCAGTAAGAAGAGTGGGGCAGATGTGGGAGAGACACAAGCTTGTGCAGTATCTGTAGCATTATTGTCACTTAATGCTGATGAGCCAGTAAACAGTTGTCATTCCAGCACCTGAAAGCTCAGCTGCTTCACCTCTGTGGTTTCCTTTGGGCCTATTCAGTGCTGCCTTTCAAATCCCCATCTCAGATCTTCAGCAGTGAATTCAGGTGCATAGGGAGAGGTGGTCTGCCAATGTGATCAGCCACCTCTAGGTACATGGAGCAGTAGGGATGAATGACCAGGACAGTCAGGGAACAGACTTGCTTTCTGAGCCCAAGTGCCATGTTAAACCAGTGAAGCATCTTTAGGAATGTCTTTGAACCAAATACTCTTTCAAAGCATGGTGCTCTCTTATAGCCTCTAAATGCTTTGATAACAGTTGTAAGTTTCAGAGGGGATCAGATTCTTTGTACTAGTGCCTTCTAGCTTCCTGATGAGCCTCTTTGGACAATTTTTTTTTCTGAAAATATCTTAGGAATCCTAAAGTTTAAACAGCATTTCCTTACCATCCTTTTGTGAAAAATCGTATCCTTTATTGAACTTATTTTTAGTTCTTTTGCCTTTTTACTTCATTTTTAGAAGAGTAGGAAGTGCAGCTTTAAAAAAAAAAATTAAAAAGAACCAAACAAAAAGCAAAATCCAACAACTTCCAGAAGGGATACGACCAGAAGGGATTGTGTCATGCCTAACTTCAGTCCTCCAGGATTAGTGTTCAGAGATGTAGGGTATTAATGCCAAGCAGTTGCTTTCTGAAGAAAGTCGTCGGTTCTGCTGCTTTTTATTTTTGAGCCATGCCTGTCATATGTGACAATTTAAGTTTTGTAATGGATTTTTGTACTGTTCACTGTACGTGTGGAACATCAGTCACATTTGTTGTATCATTGTGCACTCTCCTATTGACACATTCATTATTTTTGGTTTTTTGACATGCCCGAGATGTGGGATCTCATGCTTGTGTTAGATTTTGGGATGGTAGATCTGCATGTGATATACCTCACAGAACTACTAGTTAATATATCAACAAAATAGTAAGCTAATATTACAGGCAGGCAGTGAATTACCTCCCCTGCTATGCAGTGGCTGTATAGGCAGACCTAGAACCCAATAACTGACATTTGCTGTCTTTATTATCTCTAGTTGCTGCTTTCATGGGTAAACCATTTCCAAAGGGAGCCAGTCGCTGTGCTGCTTGTCATGGCACAATTGGCAGATGCACCACGTTTCTTCATCCTTGGTTTGTGTGGGGGACCAGAACTTGACTTTGCTAGGAACGTGGCAGCAGCACACTCCTGCTGACCTCGAGCTTTAGGCTGCTCTGAAGAGGCATTTTCAAGTCACCTTTTTATGTTGTTGATAGGTTCAGCTGGGTAAAGCTGAGTGCTGTGGTGTTTCCTGTGATCATGAGTTCACTCAGTTGAAAATGAATAGGAGCAAAAAGGAAAGTGATTGAGTGCACTGGAGAGAGAAGGTGATTAGACATCACTCTGAAAAGGCAATGATAAATTGTGTGCTCTGTTTTTAAATAAATACTGCTTTGTAAATAGAATACTTGTATCCCTACAAGTAGATAGAAATATAGTAAAATAATTTGACAGATATTAGAAAAATGTAACATTTAGAGAATGAGATTGCTAACAAGGCTCTGTGTATCATAAATTTATGAAGAGCTTCCCGTGTAAATAGCATCTTATGTTCTGCCACAGACTTTGATGAAGACTTCAGTGCAAATGACATTTAATATTTATAACACTAAGTCCTAACCCTTTATGCACACATGTGCTTGCATCATCATGTGCCTAGGTGCGTATGGCAGAGGAAGTCGGCTTACAATTGCCAAAGTGATTTTCTTGGAGTCCTGTACAGGAATATATACCTTCTGAGACAGTTTTGTCTAGAGGAAGCACCTGCTGTCTTGTGCTCCTCCCAACACACTTTGCAACACTTGTGGTGCTTGCATTAAATGTTGCCCTCTGTGGATGATGCTCAAAGATGCTGTTGGCAGTGTTTGTTGGTTTTTTCCCCTTGTCTATTCCTTAGCCAGCCTGGAAACACA